ATAGTAATTTTAAAAACAGTTAAATGAAAGTCTACCTTGTGCCAGGTACAATGTAGAAAGGAGACATTACCTCCACCTTATAGTAACAGAGATTAGAGATTTACCTAAATTAGAAATAATAAGTAATTTTCAAATTACTAATTTAAATTACTAAAAGTAATATACTTACTAAATTACTATAAAAGAAATAATTTCTGCATTAATAAATTACTGTTAACATAAATTACCGAAAGTAATTTATTACTAAATTTCTATTAATAGAAATTATTGTTAGGTCCTGTGTTGTCGAGTGGCCTGTGACCCATTGCAACCTATGTACAACAGCTCTGAACCCTCACCTGTCCTGAGCCAGTCTCACTGATTCTGACACACCCATACCCACTGCCCCAGTTACTGAGTCAATCCATCTCATCTGGGGTCTTCCTCTCCTGCACTATCCCTCCACCTTTCCAAGCATGATGTCTTTTACCAAGGACCAGTCCCTCCTGTCCACGTGCACAAAGAATGTGAGACAGAACTTCAAAATCCCAGCCTCCAAGGAGAGACTGGGTTTCATCCTCTTTAAGACAGACCTATTTGTTTTCTTGGTAGTCCATGGTATGTTCAAGACTCTTCTCCAACACTAAAACTCAAAGACATTGATTCTTCTTCTGTAATCCTTAGTCACTGTCCAGCTCTCTGATGCATAGCAACTGTGATGGTCATGGGCTGGATTAGGAGCACCTTAGTCTCTAGACTGACATTGTGGCTTTTTACTACATTGGAGAGGTTCCTGACAGGAGATTTTCCCAATGCAATTAAACTTTTGATTTCCGACTGCTGGTGCCAAGAGTTGATTATGGAACTGAGCAAGCTTTAACTGTTAACAACCTCAATCTCTTTATCTATCATGGTGCTGCCAACTGGCCCAGTAGAGACAATCTTTGTCTTTGTCTTCTTGATATTGAGCTTCAATCCATACTCAAGACTACAGTCCTTGACCTTTTGCGGCAAGTGCTTCAGGTCCTCCTCAGTTTTACCAAGCAAGATTGTGTCATTTGCATAATGGAAGTTGTTGATAAATCTTCCTCCAATCCTAGCGCCACATTCCTCCTCATAAAGTCCAGCTTCCTGGATGATCTTTCCTGCATATAGATTGAATAGGTATGGAGACAGGATGCATCCCTGATGTATTCCATTCCTGATTTTGAACCATGCAGTGTTTCCTTGCTCTGTTCTGAGGACTGCTTCCTGGTCCAAGTACAGGTTTTGCATAAGCACAATCAAGTGTTCTGGGACTCTCATTTTTCTCACAGTTAGCCACAATTTGTTGTGATTCACACAGTCAAATGCCTGTGCACAGTCAATGAAACACAGACATTCCTCTAGTACTTTCTATACAAATAATTTACCTACTTGCCTCAAGTAATTAGATATAGGTAAAATAATTCATAATTTAGAAATTACTAAATTAAAAATTTTAACTTCTAAAGTAATTGGTAGATAAAAATAGAGATTAGAGGGAGATTATTTACTTAAAGTAATAAAACTAGCCTGGGGAATTTATGTTCTTCACAGTATCTAACCATGCCTCTCAAATAATATTTTTTCAGTAATGGTAATAAGCTATGATAATGATACACTAGTACTTAGTATACAGGAATGAAGCTATATTGTTTCTAAAATATCAATTAAATCTACAAAAGATATTTTTTAATTAATAATAAAAACCAAATTAAAAAATAGAAAATTTGGATCATTTATTTTAAAATTATTGCTTTAAAAAGTTAGGAGTACTAGAACCAACTAAAATAAAATGGTTAACAGAATACTATTAAGAACTATATTCAAATAAATTTGAAAACCTAGAATAGACAATTTTTTTTTAAATCACTGTCTGCCTAAAATAACAAAGGCAGGTTAAAAAAAAATCAGACTAATCACAAAAGAAGACATTAAATGCTGTAATTGCCAACTAAAAAAGTCTTGACTTAACTGGTGAGTTTTATCAAACATTCAGAGAAGAAATGATACCAATTCCACTCAAACTATTTCAAAAGTAGCAAAAGATGGACTACTCTCAAGTAATTCCATAAAGCAAGAATAATCCTGATACCAAAGTCAGAAATCACTAAAACAGAAGATTTAGATTCCAAAAATTCTCAGCAGAGTCCAACATTATATTAAAAAAACCACTCATCATGATCAAGGGATTCGTACCAGGTATGCAAGGATGATTTAATGTTACAAAAATAATCACGAGTGAAATAAAGGAAGAGAATGACAGGATCATCTCAGCTGACGTAGAAATGGCAATTTCACAAAACTTAACCTCTCCTGATTAAAAAAATGCTCAACAAAGACTAGAAATCTCACAATGTGAGTAAAAATACTGAAGGAATTTCTCTTGCCTTTAATCACCATTTCCAGCCATTACAAACTCTGCTGATTTAAATGGAAGGGATCTCTGAGCAAGCCCACGGGTTGTTCCTCTGATGGCACAAAGTCACTGGCAGCCCCACAGAGGAATCTCTTGTGTGGGGGATAGCCTTGGAAACATGGTCAGCTATATATTGGTTCTAACTCAGTGGTGGTAAGTTGAGTGTTTTTAACAGATGGGAAGACTTAATACTGAAAATGTCAATACTACTGAAAGCTGTCTATAGCTATGTCATCCTGATCCTTTATTCGTCAAGAAAGAGAAAAATTTATACTTTTGCAAAAATGTATAAAGGTTCTTATTTTGATTAATAAAGTTTAGTGTGAGCAGAATTACAGACATTCAAAGTTAAGTTTAAAAAACCTGAATTACTTTTGTGATAACCCAAATATTTGCAGAAAACTGAAATAGTATCTTCACATTATCTATAAGATTAACTTAAGATGGATCAAGATCCTAAGAGTAAAACTTAAAACTATAAAGATTATAAAAGAAAAAAAAACACTGAGGCACATTTAGGAATCCTCATCTAGAGCATGTGGAGCTGCGGTGGCCTATTGGATAAAGAGATGTGCTGTGTACCCACAGGAAGGCAGTTTGATTCCACCCGTGATTCCGAGGTAGAAAAATGGACCATCTCCTCTTGTGTGATTTATAGTTTCTGAAAAGCTGTTGGAGGTAAGCTATGAGGGGGTTCTGACTCCATGGCAGAGTTTGAGTTTAGTTCTTTTAATTAAAAATTAAATCCCTATGTGCATCAAAAGATCTAAAGAGTAAGAAGAAAATCTACAGATGTGGAAAAATATTTGGAAACACTGTGTTTGACAAAGAACTGATCTCTAAAATGTAAAGAAAACTCTAATACCTAAACAAGGAAGAAAAAAAATAAACCCAATTACAATATGGGCAGAGGATATGAAGACACTTAACCAAAGGCGATTTTCAGATGATCAACAATGAAGAAAGGGTCAAGATCATTAGATACTGATGTTGTGCCCTCAATTTGTCTGTGACCCTATGTACAACAGCTCTGCAGCCTGCCCTGTCCTGAGCTAGTCATGCTAACTGATCAATCCACCTCAACCGGGGTCTTCCTTTCCTGCACTGTCCCCTCAATCCTGAACGGGTTCTCAATGAGGTATCATCTCACCCCCAGTAACAGGAGCAAAGTTCAATACCAAAGAATGCTGGTAAGGGTGTGAAGAGACTGGAACTCTTTCACTACTGGTTCTGTGCTCCAATTTGATACTTCCTAAAGGAAATAAAAGTATCATTCATCCTAGCTGTGACAAGAATAGATATATGCATACCCATGTTCACTGCAGCATTATTTACAACAGCAAAGAGATGGACACAACCCAACTGTCCATGAAAGAACAATGAGATGAACTAACTATGGTATATCCCCACAATGGGGTATTACAGAACACTTAGAACAATAAAGAATTCTCAAAACACTATATAGCATGAATCAATTTTGAGGACACACTGAATGAAATGTTAAGTCATAAAACAACAAATATTATAGAAGACCACTATTAGAAAAAGCTAAAGAAATATTTTATATACTCTCTGCTGTTCACCTGGGAGGGAGAGAGGAGTAAAAATGAGTAAACAGATAAGAGAAGTCAAAATACAATAAGGAATTGATTGGCACAATATCACTTAAAGTCAAGACAGAGGTATAGAAAAATTAGTGGATATCAAAATTACAGGGGAAAATGGGAAAAAAACAATTACATTGTGGGTACTGTAATTAATATCATAAAACAGTACTTGTATGAATGGCTGAATAAAAAATTTTCTTCGTAAATCTTTACTCAAATAATATACACACACAAACTAAATGTATTTATATTATAAAATCTTTTTAAAAATTTGTTAATGAATGAAAGTAAATGTATTATTTCAAGGCCATGATATATAATTATTTTACAATGGTTCTATTATTGCTATTCTCTCCTATAAATTTTTTTATAACTTATAGAAATAATGGAAATGGGTCAAACAGTATTTATAAAACACAACTAGAATAAAAATACTAAATGAACAATAACAATTTGTCTTCAAAAAATAAAACGAAATTGGGAGATACATAGTTTATAGAGAACTTACGGTGTACCACCATGACAGTCATAAAGTCTAAGAAGAAGTTATTTGTCTCTCACTCCTGATTTAATATGCATTTATTCTTAAAAAACAGGCAGTCTGTCAATTCAAATATCAAAATTTCAAAACTGTTTACCTAATGCAACATTGTAAATCTCAAAAAAAGATTGCTTGTTACTAAACACACACACTTTCTCTCTCTCCCACCCCCTTCCACCCTCCCTCCCTCCCTCTCTCTCTTTCCCCTCCCCATCTTTCTATCTTTTTCTCTCCCCCTCTCTCCTCTCTGGAGGGTCCCCTATGGTTTGGTTCTGATTCGATGGTACACAACAATAAAGCCAAGTAATTTATTTTTCTTTTAAATGTTCTGTCTCTTTATAACTGTACAATCAGTTGGGTCATACTAATAGGTTTAAATTTAAAAAAAAATTAAAATTTGTTGAAGACATCAAGAAAAGGAATAACTCACTCATCAAATACAAATATACTATTTTATTCTATGGGACTATTTTTTGTGATTTCTTCATGGGGAGAATCCTCAAAGTAGCTAAAACAACAGAAAAGATGAGTTAGTTATTTCTCTTTTTTCTTTGATTTTTTTTCTCTCGAGGAAACAATGTAATTTTACACAATTTTAATAAAATAAAAAAGCAAATAACCTGACACATACTGGTAGTAGCTATACTTATGAGGAATGACTAATTAGTATTTTTTTATGAACTAATTTAGGGTTCTGGGTAACTCCTTGTAGTAGCATGCAACTGAAATTTTGACACAGTAATTTCTCTGGGTACTGATTGTTTTCAGTTAAAAGATACAGATTTTTCTTCTTTCTGGTATTTTATAACAATTTATCTACTAGGCTAACAGTATCTGCTTTTCATACAGCTACAAAGGTGGGGGAGAAATATAGTGTTTATACAAACCATGAAACTTTATAGCAGGAACTATTACACCTGATGTTCCTGGATAATTTACTGGCAGAGTTAGCAGACAATGGAATTGTATTTCCCCCACCTCAAACATGGTCTGGAATTGAGAAGTTTTCCACTCAGAATTGACATACAGATTGAAGGAATCATACAAATAGGGGCATATTTACTTTTTTACATAGTTGTTGGGAGCAAAAATGAAATTTGTTACAAGCAGGGGACAGACCCAACAAAGATACAATATCAAAGGCCTACTTTTTAAGTTTTATTATTATAATGAATTTTGATTTAATAAAAAAAATATATACCTATCACTTCCACCTGAAAAATGGGATATATAGACAAGTTTTCAAAGTTAATATTTCCAAGAGGGTTTTTGGACTCTGCTTACTTTAATTATTACATTAACCTGTGATTAGCCAACCTAAGAGCTTTGATTAAAATTTTTGTGGGGATGAAACTCAGCATGAAGATGAGGGAGGTGAACTGATATGCCACACATGCCTAGAATCTGCAATCCCCACAGAACTACTGAACAGCTAATTTGGAATAATGCTAAAAGACCGGCTTTTGGATAAGTAAAACTGTCAAAAATCTTTGTACCATAACCTTAGAATCACTTATTTTCAAGATTTTTAGAGCAACAAGGTCATATTCCAAATGCTATATATAGGAACATACCAGGAGCTTTTCTATCATAATTCTGAGAGTCAATACTGTTGTGTCTGTGGAATCACCACAGGTTCACCAGAATAAGAGAACTATTCTGTATGAAATAACAAGGGCCTCTGGAAACTGGTACAAAAGACAAATTATTTAGGCAGAAGGAAGGTAAAGCAGTAAGAGAAAAGCTGCCATTTTAGGGGGGGGAAAGAGAACCTGCATTTCTGTGTACCATGGCTCATGCTATGAGACAACAGCAATAAAGGCTCACACCCAGAGAAAATGGGCATTTTTGTGGGTTTTCTACAAACATCTCAAGACAGCTATGGTCTACTGAGCTCCAGAGATCTGTGTGCATAATTAGTTTGCAAAGTTTTATCTCCGTTACCTCAATTTACCCCCATATCCAGCTGATACTGCTAGATCCAAAAAGTGAAAGGAAAATATTATGATGTTAACAGCAATGAAGGCCTTTTGTCCTGATGTGAGAGGCTTGGGACAAGCAACGGGGTATCTCTCCTTAACATAACTGGGTTGGCAGTGAAAATCAAAATCAAGACCACTTCACTCTCTCTCTTTCAAAAAAATGTTGAGTATTTTTATTGGGTCTTCATATCTAGGTCCCACAGTTCTCATCTGGCATCACTCTCATCTCTGTACTAAGTGACTTCTCCCCTGACTTTCACGGAGGGCTTGCCCAAGTAGTCTATTCCAGCCAAGGTTTTATTCCAGAGCTCTCTCTCTAAGGTCTAGTGTTCCTATGGTATAGTTTTATACAACAATTTTCCTCAAAAATATTCCACAATTTGTTATTCCCAAACAAAATAAGATTATGCACCACTCAGAGAAATTGGTTATTCGTTCCAAAGATGTCTAAGAATTCTATCATTGTCAAAGAACAAAATTTTTCAGTTCATAGCCTTCCATCAGTTTTCATTTGTACATCCACACTGTGGGTCAGGAGTCATCTGTTTTCCATTATCTCATGATCAAGTCAAGAGGACTTGGGCTGATACTTCGTATTCCAATGGCTGGATGCATTCCCAGTTTGGTATATACCAATGTGTATGGAAAGAAGAACCATAATTCCATTTTAATCTGATAATTCAACATCAGAGTCTTCGGATTTGGCTTTGGCAAGTTCTTCGTGTACCTCTCTCACCATGAGAATACGTGTTAACATGGTGTCCAGAGTCCCAGGGTCTATTGGGTATGTGGAATACCACATGGGGCTATTTGGGACACAGGAACGCTCTGGCTGAAGGTAAAACACATCATTCCTCTGCTTCACACTTTCAGAACTAACCACAAGAGAAAAAGAAAACAGAAAACTTGGAATCAGGTAATATACAAAATATGTACCTATTTTTTAATACAATGATGCTTCCCTACTTTGACTCACCTAATAGATAAGAAACAAACCCACAAAAATAAAGTTCACAGCATTTTCTCCTCAGGAAAAATCCATGATTCTGTATCTTTTCTCAAACAATCAAGAAAACATACTAGATTGGAAGGGAGTTGAGTATAATGTCAAAATAAGACAAAGTATAGCCTTCAGAACCTTAATACTTAAATATTATAAACAGTAAAGAAAATATGACTAGCATGACAGTATAATTGAAAACCACAGATCCTCAGTGCCCAACATCCCAAGGGCACCAGTTACATACTGCCAAAGGACAAATCTGGTTATTATACTTCCTTTGGGGGAAAAATGCTTGAGTGTGGACCTTAAGACTCTTAAAATCTTTAGCTTTTTCTAAATAAAAGATCATTCAAAGAAATTTCAATTAGATTAGCACTAAAGCCTCTACTCTAAATGTCTTTTCTAATTAAAAAAATATTTCAAAGTTTGAGCAACAGCTGAAAGATTACACAATAGCAGTGATTCTTGCTTTGGAAGAAATTTCTGGGGGCGGGGGAAGGATTAATTTCTTATTCAACAATTTGAGAACAGAAAATAGTGAAATCAGAGGTAAAACATCTTAAGAACCATTTCTGATATTGAAGCATCTGTAATCCAAAATAAACATTCTTTTTTTTTTTTTTTAAATTTTTGTGTGTGTGTGTGTATGAGTGTACCGTCAAATCAGATCTGACTGGTACAGGAGGAGATTGTCCCTCCTTCTCCGGCAGAGCATCTGGTGGATTCGAACCGTGCGCCTCTGGGATTGTAGTTGCAGCTCTTTACCACTAGGCCACCAGAGCTCCCCTCAAAATAAACATTCTGAAATAGGTTATATCTAATTCAGAGGAAGATCACCTACCATTTTGACAGATAAAATTCATAAAGCCGGACTGGGCACCTTAGTGGGTTGTCGGTATTCTCAGCCATCTCCACACCCACGGACACCTCATCATCTTCCATTCGTTTCCTCTTGCCAACACTTAATTTATCTTGGAAAAAAAGAAATAAGGAATCAGAAAAGTATTTTCTCCAGGCTTCAAGACCACAATGAGTTCTGCTTCACAGCCAACTCTCCCTCTTCTCTTTTATATATGTAACTCAGTAAACAAATTTTGCATACTTTTGGGGCACTTTATTTTATTCCAAGTGCTGGGCTACTAGTAGTGACTAAAAGTCTGTCTAACACAATTTCAAGACCCCTGCTGGACCAAAGTGGGGCATCAATGATGAAAAAGCATGGTGTACAGTTAAGTCTAAATTCTATAGCCGACCCTTTTATCTGTTAATACACTTAGGCATATTAAGATAAAGCAGAAAAGAGTGTTCTGCTATTACTTCCCCTATAGCTGAATCAAGGTAGACATCTCTATACCTGAAAATAATTCTATCTATGGGGTACCAGAGCCTATGGACATTTGTTCAAACTGACGACATCTCTATTGGGAAAAGATATTTGATAAGAACAAATCCTTTTCACCAACAGTATTTCTACAGGAAGAAGTCGAGGAAGGTATGGAAGGCATGCTATTTCATTCCCACTTTTCCATTCTATCTTCTAAAAAAGTAACTATGCCTAAAAAGTTTTCTTTTGTTCTGAATAGGTGGCACATAACTCACCAGGGTCCTCCGTAAGATATTGCTTTAACAAATGCATTCTAGTGTTTCATTTAGTGGCTACCTAAATATAAAATCTTGCAAATGTTCATTCTGAAAACAAGCTGAATTTATTACCAATCTTGTCAAAGGCTTAATCAGAAAACTATGAAATGTTACTGGTCTCTCCTTTGCCCAATTAATTTCAATAAAAAGCACAAAATTGTCTATATATGTTATGTGATGGTTGTATGTATACACAAAATGGTCTATATATGTTATGTGATGGTTGTATGTATATATACTTTATTTTTCCTGGATCTAGATTTCTGAGCCCATGGATTTGGGGTGATCCATTTAGGTCATTTACCCTTAGGTGTCTTTTTGAGCCTTAAACCTTAAATGAACCGATCTTCCAAGAGTCATCAACCAGTTAAACAACAGTCCAATAAGCAGCTTCAAGGAGACCAATCTGCATTATCCACTGGGCTTTCTTAAAAATTATCTGTGTAGCCAGATGTGAAATGCAAGAACTCTGGGATCTGTGTTTTAGTATATGTCTATAATGACTCTGTTTCTTCAGCTGATTAGCACTGACAACCTGAGAAACATAGGAAGAATTTATAATGACCCTCAGGTGACTACCCTGCTTACTCTCTTACTGTAAACTTGGTTCCAACTGATAGCCCTCCACTGGGCTGTGGAAACGGTAAATCTTAACAGGAGGAAACTGGCCATTTTTCTGCCACATTGCCACTGGTAGCAATTCAGCACCAGAGCCTCTACCCATAATCAACTTTACTATCCCTTCTTCAGAATATATGCTCAATGCCTTCAGGTTAACACTGCCTGATTCTAAACATTATCTATTCCACAATATATTCCATACACTAATTTCTAGCATTTGTGCATTTAGATATCTCAAAAGGAAATAAGGTATTATATACATTAGGAAGAAAGCAAGATAAATCTTTTTGTGTGTGCACAAGGCCTCATAATTTTTTTTAATCTTCAAACTTTTAAAAAAAACTGTGACTGACTGAAAGCAAACTGGTTTTATGTTCAACCAATCATATATTTTAATGACATTTATCACACATATTGTAACTGTACTGTTTCAACTTCATCCTCACGATTCTCATTTCCACTGATTGCTCTCTCATTCTGCCTTCTGAGTTTGTCCCTGGGCAAAGGATAAAAACCCTTTGATCCTGCATGGCTGACTGCACTAAGGAGTATCTCTCTGGTGTTTTGAATGAATGCTGAGCCATGTGTTGTTTATACATATATAGACAAAATAACATAAATACCAAAATACAACTAAACTACCAGTTCTTTCACGTGTAAAACGTCATGATCACTGCTCTATGACAATTCTCTATTTTAAAACTAAGTAAGATTTCAAATAGAAATTTTATAAACACACCTGGTTCTGACTCCTGCTTATGTAGAGGTGGGAAAAACCTCAGATATGTCATCTTAGTACTATATTTTAGAGTCCTGGTCCGTCTCATCACATGGGCAAAGGAAAGCTTCAAGTGCTCACTAACATTCTTTAGTTGGAAGTATTTGGTATTAAAGAAAAGGAGCGTGTTCAAGAGGACAATTGGTGAGTAGGCACCCAGCTGTTTGCACTCCCACAAATGCTCTTCTTCAATGCGAGAGAACATGTAACCTGAAAAGAACAAAGAAATGAGGAGAATGTACTTGCTTCTCCTAAACAAGATTAAGTAATGTCACAAATTCAAGGATTCAAAGATGTGAAGAGAAAGAATGATTGTTCTCTATCCCTCTTTCCTTTTTCTTATGCAGATAAAGAGAAAAGACATCACAAAGAAAAGAGTAGATGATTCCACTGAAGCAGGCACTATGATCATTTCTCTTTTAAAACAAAACAAAACATCTACTGCTGCTTTAGATTAGGTGCAGACAAACTTTCTGCAAAGAGCCAGACAGTAAATATCCAGACTCCAAGGATCATACAGGTTCTGCACAACTCTGTTGCTTTAGAATGAAGTATACATACTAGGATATTTATTTTTATTTATATCATTCATTCACTTTCCACTGAGATCTGAGGCTATAAATCCAATGGGAGGAAAATGCCCATCTTTCTCACTCAGAACTAACAAAGAGGCATGATCTCTGGGTTAACAGTGTAATGCTCTATGGATTATGTCATCAGCTTCCCTTTGTATGTGTATAGATATAGAAATACTATTACTTCTCTTTTGGTTTTTTAAATCAATCATTTAAAAATGCAAAAAAAAAATAATTCCAACAACACTGGGTTGGGATCATGAAGTTTATTATTACTGGCTCAGTCTTAAAAGATAGCTAGATTTCTATTTCCTGAATTATTTTTAAATTGTTTTGTTTTAAGAGTGATTATATCCTATTGATTTATCTGGATTTTTCTTAAAAAGCTAAGATACAATAGAGAAATTACAATAATATGATTTTAACTGTACCTTGTTTCACTATTTGCAGCTGAATCACTTAAATGTAGGTTATTTACCAAAGTCTTCCCCTTAATCATATGCAACTACTTCTTTATTTCATTCTGGAAGACTGTCCACAAAAATTACTTTACCATTCCTAACTCTATGTCCCAATAGCCCCTCTCTGAATGCTAAAAACATTAAGCTACTCTTTGGCAGAGAAGACTTCTAAGGCTCTTTGATGTCCAACAGAAAGGGCTTACATTCCTCAATGTCACATTCAACATCTCCATTCACTGCTGTTTTTCATACTGTTGTACATGGGATCACTATGACTGAATGGCACCTATTAACAACAACCACATTCACAGCATGGGAGCATGAAACTAGGTGTGATTAGGAAATTGACTGATGGCATATGGTCAAAACCAATTCTAGGATAAACATTCAACTCTGAATCACTCTGGTATGCAAATCTACCAGTAGGCAGAATCTAAGAGTATAATATTTAGCAGCTATTGGTCCAGCATGGCTGGTATCCAGTTTGGGAAGATGTGTGGAGCACAAAGATGTGTTTTCTTGTTTTGGTGGGGGCTTGGGTGTGGACTTTTCACAAATGGGTGTGAGCTGATTGGACTGGGGCCTTGTATTTAAAAAGACCTGGCAGTTGTTTTAGGTCAAACATTCTTTTAAGTAGTATAGCACTGGTCTGACAATTTGCTGTACAGAGGTAACCATGGTTGCTGATGCTAAACACCTAACACTGATGTGTCAAATGTGACAATGGTTAACAATGGTGAACAGTGTTTGGTGGAGCTTCCAGGTTAAATCAGCTTGGAAGCAGGAGTGGCATCCACTTCCATAATAGCTTGCCTCTCCAAACTCTATGAACTTAGGAGAAATGATTATAGTTATACCACAGGGTTCAGTTCTATCGATCATAGGGTCGCTATGAGTCATCTATGACTCAATGGCACTTAAAAACAACATTGGTTAAATGCTGCTTCCGTTATATCCATGTAAAATTAATTAAAAATTTCAATCTTTTTAAAACAAAACAAAAACAAAAACTTTGGTTCAGTGTGCAGCTTTATGAACATGACTCAAATTTAAAAAATCTGTTTCAAAAAGTAAATGTAACCTTGTTACTTTTCTCCAGCATTTAATGTCTATAAATGCACTGAAATCATGAATAAAACAAAGACTTTATCCTCAAAAGTCTAGATATGCTATTGATTAAGTCAGAAACACAAAACAATTTATTAAAAATTACAAACTTGGCAATCAAAAATTTATACAGAAAATAATAAAAATAATCATCCTACCATTAGGAAGTATTGTAGGTTCCCATATTTTCAAAAGTTTCGTAAGTTCAATCATAAATCTGGAATAGGGCTCAGTAAAAATGTTATCTATTCTACCATTTTCAAACAGGTACTAAAAGAGAAAAAAAATTATACATACATATTGATAAAGAAAACACAAAGTCATTATTTTAATGACTATAGTTCACACATAATTTTTTCTTTCCTTTCACAAAATTATGTTGCCCTTCAAAGTATTTAAGTATACATATTAAAGTATCAGAACTCAAATTAAAAGATCTCTTTCACATTTATACAGATTATCTTGGCCACTAGTGACCTATTGGTTAGAAGCTGCATTGTAATCCCCAAGGCCCGTAGTTTGAATCCACCAGCTGCTCCTTGGGAGAAGGATAGGCAGTCTCCTCCTATGCAGTTTACTGCCTCTGAAAACCTGCTGGAGGGTCAGCTATGGGTTGGTTCTGACTTGACAGTAATCAGTATCATCATGATCATCTTGGCCACTGAGCTTTCAAGTCAGTTTTATTCCTCTAAAAAAAATATGAAATATAACAATTATAACTAAGTACCCTATACTCAATTCATATACTCAATATTGCTTCAATGCATATTTCCTAAATCAATTTTTCTTGGTTCACAGAGTGTACCTGTTTAGACTAAAAAACTAGCTACCTTGAATGGATTCTTCACCACAGCTTTCAGTCTCCTATCCCCTGAATTTCTGCCCTGTGTTTCCAATCCTGTTGATGTTGTTGATGACTGCCGTCTAGCTGAGCGCAACTCATAGTGACCCTATGAACAAAAGGCCTGAAGCCTTTCTTATCTATCGACATTTGTCAAAGTTTATAGAGTTTCCCAAGGCATGTTGTTTAGGAATTGGATGCCACTCCTGCTTCCAATCCTAGTCCTCAAAAATTTTAAGTCTAATTGTAAGATTTTAAAATGTACAGATTATAATCAAATTACATTGTAAAATAAAAAAAGTTTCTGTGAAGTCCATTATGGTTGTGTATCTCTGAGTCAGAACCAATCCATAGCTGACCCTCCAGCGAGTTTCCAAAGGCAATTAACTGCACAGGAGGAAACTGATCATCCTAAGGAGCAGCTAGGGGATTCAAACTGCGTGCCTTTGGGATCACAGAGCAATTTCTCACCACTAGGCCACCAGAGCTTTACTAAAGTACACTAAAGAGAAAAAGAACTCAAACATCCCCCCCCAAAAAAATCACAAAAGAAATCCCCAAACTTTGAAAATGCAGAGTAGCACATAATTACGATGTTGTAATGTGCCCTTTAGTAGGAACCAACTCAGCTGATTTGATTCTCCAGTGGGTTTCCAGAGGCTGTAAAGTGCATCCGAGAAGACTGCTGATCATTCTCCTCCAGAGCACCTGGATTTAAACAGGCTGCCTCTGAGTTGGCAACTCAATTCCTTACCGCTAAGCCAATATAATTATATGCTAAAAATTTTACCTTGTTTTTTTGCTTTTCTTACTACTGTACAAGTTGAAGATATACTTTATTTAAATTCAACCTAGCACTTAGATATCACTTTAATATGCCTTTTTAATGAGGCCTCTTCAAATATTTATAATTTAAAATTTATAATTTGACTGCCTGATTAGTTTTTATTTCCTCCCTGGAAGTATTCATTTGAAATATCAGATACTCCGTGTGGAAAAATTTAAAATATAGAATATGGAGTGTGTCTTTCTTCTACTTAGACAAATTTCAATCTTTTGATAAATTCTTGATATTTGGTCTGTTCCAACCCATACAGACTAAATGTAAAACAGAATGAAAGGTATGAATTTTGTACACTTTGAAGAATGGGAAACCCAGAACACTTAATTGTGCTGATGAGAAACCTACACCTATATCATGAGGCTGTTGTGTGAACCGAGCAAGGGTTTATTGCATGGTTTAAATTCAAGAAAGGCACGCATCAGGGTTGTATTGTTTCTCTGTATCTATTCAATCTGTGTGCTGAGCAAAGAATTTGAGAAGCTTGGCATTATGAAGAATAATGTGGCATCAGAATAAGAGGAAGACTCATTAACAACGTGCATTATGCAGATGACACTACCCTGCTGAAAGTGAGGAGGCCTTGAAGCACTTGCAGAAGAAGATCAAAGAGTACGTCAATAATATGGATGGACTGAATCTCAACATCAAGAAAACAAAAATTCTCACCAATGAACAATAGGCAACCTCATGATAGATGGAGAAAATATAGAATTGGCCTTGGCTTCATCATACTTGGATCCACAATCAACAGCTTTGGCACCAGTAGTGAGGATCAGGAAATGTACTGCACCGGGAAAGTCTGCAGTCAGGCACCTCTCTTTCAATCACTTCCAATATATCCTTCCAAAAGTTGGACAATGAATAAGGATGACAGAAGAATAACTGATGCCTTTGAGCTGTGGTTTTAACGAACAGATACGTCTTAGAGATAGTACAGCTAGAGTAATCCTTGAAGGCAAAGATGAAAAATTTTCTTCTCACGTACTTTGGGTATGTTGTTGTTTTACCACCGAGTCGGCATCAACCCATAGCTGGCCCTCCAGTGGGTTTTCAGAGGCAGTAAATCGGACAGGAGATTGCTTATTTTTCTCCTGTGGAGCAGCTGATGGATTTGAACTGCATGCCTCCAGGACTGCAGCACAGCTATTCCTTGGAGAAGAACATCATTCTTGAAAAGGCAGAGGGTTGGAGAAAGAGAGGAACACCCTCAAACAGATGGACTGGCATAGTGACTACTGCAATGGACTTGAGTTATGTCAGAACTTGTGAGGATGGTACAGGATAGGACAGGGTTCTGACCTTTAGTTCATAGGATCACTATGAGTCATACTTGACTTGATGGCACCTAACAACTACCTAATAACAACAAAGACAACAACCTTTTATATGGGTTACATCTCAACATCAAAAAAACAAAAATCATCACTACTAAACCAATTGAGAACATTATGACATATGGTAAAAGATTTAAGTTGTCAACTATTCTTTACTTTGATCCACAATGAATAGCGGTCAAGAAACTAAAACATGTACTGTACTTAGAAAATCTGCTGTCAAGGACTTCTGCAAAGTGCTAAAGAGGAATGATGTCAGTTTAAAGACTTAGCTGGGCCTAATTCAAGCCATGGTTATTTTCAATTGCTTCCTATGCATCTGAAAGCTGGGCAGTAAAAAAGGAAGACCACAGAAGCCTTTGAGTTGTGGTGCTGAGGAAGAATACTATGACTATGTCATGGATTGCAAAATACAGCTCTCTTAGAATTAACAAATATTTAAGCAAAGGTTCAGGAGACAACACTAACATGCAAAAATAAGTAATAGTATTTTTAATCAGAGATTTAAACTGATCCAGTAATTGCCATTATAAACCAGGGCTACATATGTGTTATAAGGCAACCAAATCTTGTTAGGATGGCATAGGATTGAAGATCAGGAAAAGTGTTCATTCTTTTATACACAGGCTATTAGTCAAAGTGGACTCATTGGCACCTAAAAACAGGAAATCAACTACCGTGCACTGCTCAAAGAGGACAGCCACTGTTTATGAGTGTTACTCTCTAGAGTTCAAGAATGCTCTCCCAAAATCTTGAAAGTTTAAAGAAGAGTCAGGTGCAGAAGACAGGATACGAATAAATACTAGAATAAACTGGAAAAATAAATAAATACTGGAATAAATGAACTTGTATCTTGTTTGGCAAAAATGTGTCGATTATAATGGTTATTTCCATTAATAAAGTTAAGTCAGAGGATAGTTATAGAATCTCAAAATTGGTATTTGAAAACTTGTATTATTTTTGTGATAAACACCACTGAAATCTAGCTGTCTCCTCCTCACCGCTAGAAATAAAAAAACAGTGCCTAAAACAGAATGGTAACAAAATCATAAAAACTCACTGCTATAGGATTGATCCCAAAAGTCAGTCAGGTTTCCAGGATAGTAAATCTTTAGAGGAAATTGTCTATTTTCTCTCATGGAGCCGCTGGTGGATTAAAACCTCTGTCTGACCCTATAGTTAGCAGTGCAACATGTAAGATGCCAACCCAATACTGTTCCCAAATGGATTTGTAAAGAATGTCAAATAGACAAAATACTTTTGAGACTACCATCATCATTCCAAAGAACGTTGACCCAACGGAGTGTGGAAATTAGCGAACAATATCATTAACATCACATGCAAGCAAGATTCGCTGAAAATTATCCAAAAACGTTTGGAACAATATGTCAACAGAGAACTGCCAGATGTGCACGCTGGATTTAGAAGAGGTCATGGCACTAGGGATATTATAGCTAATGTTAGATGGATCTTGGAAGAAAGGTAAGAATACCAGAAGAATGTCTATCTGTGCTTCATTGACAATGCAAAGGCTTTTGACTGTGTGGATCACAACGAGCTGTGGCTGACTCTGAGAATGGGAATCCCAGAACATTTGATGGTGCTAATGCAAAACCAATACTTGGACCAAGAGGCAGTTGTCAGAACAGAGCAAGGAGACACTACATGGTTCAAAATCAAGAAGGAGGTTCGTCAGGGATGCATTCTGTCTCCATACCTTTTCAATCTGTATGCAGAACAGATCATCCAAGATGCTGGGCTGTACGAGGAGGAATATGGCATCAGGATTGGTGGAAGAGTCATTAACAAACTGCCTTATGCAGATGACACAACCCTGTTTGCTGAAACTGAGGAAGACCTAAAGTGCTTGCTGCAGAAGGTCAAGGACTGCAGCCTCCTATATGGACTGAAGCTCAATATCAAGAAAATAAAGATTCTCACCACTGGGCCAATTGGCAGCATCAGTATGGATGGTAAAGAGACTGAGATAGTTAACAATTTTCATTTACTTGGCTCCACAATCAACACCCTTGGTAACAGCATCCAGGAAATCAAGAGACGAATTGCATTGGGAAAGTCAGCTGTGAGGGACCTCTCAAGAGTACTGAAGAGCAACGACGTCAGGCTAGAGACTAAGGTGCGCTTGATCTGGGCTATAGTCTTCGCAATTAAGTGCTATGCATCAGAGAGTTGGAAAGTGAATCGGGATGAAAGAAGGTGAATTGATGCCTTTGAGCTGTGTTGCTGGAGA